GTCTGGAGCCGAGCGGCGATCACTCGAGGTCAGGAGTTCGAGACCAGCCTGAGCAAGAGCGAGACCCCGTCTCTACTATAATAGAAAGAAATTAATCCGCAACTAATAATATATAGAAAAAATCAGATGGGCATGGTGACGCATGCCTGTAGTCCCAGCTACTCGGGAGGCTGAGGCAGGAGGATCACTTGAGCCCAGGAGTTTGAGGTTGCTGTGAGCGAGGCTGACACCACGGCACTCACTGTAGCCTGGGCAACAGAGCCAGACTGGGTCTCAAAAAAATAAATAAATAAAAAATAAATAAAAATTTAAAGAATAAAATTATGGAAACTTCCACCGCATTAAACAGAGGAAACAGCAGCCTGACCCGTGCCCACCGTGAAGACTGGACACGCTCTCACACTCTGCCGAAAGCACTCTGACAGGTAAGATGTGGCAGGAGCCACGCCGGGCCCGAGCCCCTCCCCGCCCTGTCCCTCCCGGGCGGGGGCACCAGCCTGGGATCGGCGCGTGGACGGCCTGTCCATGCGCTTGCGTTTTTGCTGCACAATTTTCTCTCTAAAAAAGAGTGAATCTTCGTGTTTATGGTGTGTTTGCGGTGTGCGTTGTCACGCTGTGAACACCTTTCTGCTTCTTGCTTTTCTCCGAGAATCAGACAGGGTCTTGTATTTAATTTTCCTCAGGAACACACCCTAGGGCTTGTTTTCAGGGGATGTTTTATTATTTTTAAGTACGGTACAACAGTCTACATTTACTCAAATAGAGTGAAGTCGTCATCTTCTAGAAGATCATCCTCACTCCCCAAACCCTGAATTCCATCCTGAATGTCTTGCGACTCTGTTTCCTTTAGAACTGTCAGCCCCAATCTCTCTCTCGAGCCATAGGCTCTCACGGGCAGACGGGAAGGGCTGCTTGTGTTCTCTCCCGCTCCGCTCCGCGACGACATGCACGGGTTGTGCAGACGCGCTGCGTAGCCGCGCCCGTCACTAGGGCTGGATTTTCGGGGTGGGGCTTCTATTGCACACATGCTAGACATCCTGTGGGGCCTATTTTATGGTAGGGCTTATTTTCGGGGAAACACGGTACAACTTGGAGTTTGTGTGTGTCTGGAGTCTGGGTCCAGGTTAGCAGGTGCCTCTGGCCCAGGTCTTCTGCTGAGGGTCCGTCAAGCCCCCGGCCAGGCTCGTTCGGCGCCCAGCAAAGGGGACATGTTAAACGTGACTATGTCCCACCAGGCACTTCGGGACGACAGGTGACGTTAGGGACTCCAGTGGAGTGACGCAGGGCTCTGGCCTGGCGCCGTTTCTGGTCACCGTTGCTCGCCGTGACCCTCCTGGCCTCACAGGGCAGTCGCTGAGGCCGGGGGAGGAGGCCCACGCAGGCTGCCAGGCCGCGGTGTGGCAGAGGTGACAAGGCAGCATCCTGGGCCAGCGTGAGGCCGCCTGAGTCCCAGGCACCAGCGGCTCAGTCGGGGTGACAGCGACACTAGCTCCCCGTGTGTCCCCCATGAGGGCCTGTGAGGAGGACAGTGTGGCACCACCGCCCGCTGGGCCAGCAGACAGGCGAGGGGAGCCGGAGTCGGAGCCCGCGGGACCTGCGTGCGCCGTGCCCTGCCCGGGCTGCGTGGGCAAGCTCGGGGCCCGGGCCAGCGTCTGGCCTGGGTGTGCGCGCGGCGTCCTGTGGCCCCTGGCTCGCACCTGCGGGTCACAGCGCAAGCCGGCGGCCGGCCAGGGCTGCCGAGGGTGGACGGACGGGACAGGAGAGGGTGGCTGTTTCCTCCCAGCGGGCTCCATGGTCCCGATGGTGTTGGTTTTCCTGTAACGCAGGAGAGATCAAAGCTGCGAGGTGCCATGAGCGGGGCTGGCGACGGTGTGGTGCTGTGCTGGCTGCTGTTCAAGCGTCCAAAGCACCTCCCCATCCTCGCCTCGCACGGCCCTGTCCTGCCCCTTTCTGCCGCGGTTAGAGGCAGTGGCGTGTCCACACAAACCGGGCTGCAGCCGTGTGGCCCTCACGGAGAGTGTTTTAAAGTGGCAGTAGAGAGCGCGGCTTTCAGCTGGGCCGGCCTGCTTCCTGATGCGTCTGCCCTTCCGACAAGAAAACGTTGTTCCACTTAGCACATCAGACAGCAGGAAGCACGGCTTTATCAGGGTCTCTCTAGCGGTCTCCTTAATGCATGAGAGCTGCACGGGGCGTTCCTTTGATGACGGCTGACATACAGGGTGCGCGTGACGTGGCCGCACACGCCGGCCGCCAGCTGCGATGGCAGCAGCCGCGGGGACCTGCCGCCGGGCTCGGGCTGCGTTATGGGATGTGGGCCGCCCGGTCTCTGCTCCCCCCGGAGCGTCCGGCGCTGCGCCCAGCCACCGTGTATCCCATAGTCTCAATTTTCCATTATCTGCAACTGTTGGTGACAGTGAAAAGTCACCCGCAGGTGTCGCCCGCTGCAGGGGCTCCTGGGGGTGGGGCAGGGAAGCGTGGGGGGCGCCGACGCCCTGCACATGCAGCTCTGTGTTTTGCAGCTTGACCCCCTTCCGGACAAGGTCTTGCAGCAGAGGCCCAACGCCAACGCCGTGCGGTCCATGGAGAAGGTCGTGGAGATCCACAGTAAGTCGCCCGGCCCGGGCTCCTGGGGGCGGGCCTCCCCTGCATCCCTCCTGGCCCCCGTCCCCTCTCCGTGGTAGCTGCCAGCCACTTCCCAGGCCCGCGGGACCCGCGGTGCTGCGCCTGGCACGTGGTGAGCTGGCAGGGATGCTCGCGTAGCCCCCACTGGCCCCCACTCCCCGCTGGGAGGGTTTCGTAGTCTCCCTCTTGCAGCCCCACAGACCTGAGGCCCAGCGATCTCAGCGTGCAGTCCCTTGCCGCAGGTTCCCGCTAGCAGGTGGCCCTCGCCCTGTAGCACCGCCCGGGGTGGCAGGTCTCGGGGACCAGGGTGGCATGTGGCGAGGGGACGCATGCCAGCGCACCTGTGTCGGGTGTAGCTGTCACACCTGTCCTCACCACAAGGCCAGTGTGTTGTAGGCCTTAGAGCCGACCCGAATGGCTGAGACCATCAGCGTAGGCGGGGGAAGCCGGAGGCCTGCTCCCTGTGTCCCTGCACCGGGCGCTGGCTTCCTGCCACGGAGCCCCGGAGCTGACACGGGCCCGCCCTCGGGGCATGGCCCTCATGCTCGGGCCTGACCCAGTGACTCCCCTAACCCAGCACCTGCCGGGGTTGGGCGGGCGACCCGCCTCACCTGCTCCCACAGCCAGGAGGGCCCAGCACCGCCGGCCTGCAGCCCAGGCCTGCTGCCGTGGCCAGGAGGGCCCGCGAGGGCTGCAGGCCAGGCCCCATGGGGCCCGTCTCGGTGCTGGGTGGTCCTGCCTGCAGGACGACCTTTCCACTTTGGAGCCAGAAACGTTTCCAGAGGTCCCCAGTTGCTGTGAGTTTGTGGCCTCACAGCTTCCCCGGCTGCTGCCTCTAACCCGCAGGGCCGGGTCCCGAGGCCCGGGGCCCCGCGGAGACCTCCCTGGGCTGCGGTGTGGCCGGCACAGCCCGTCCCTGAGCGGCTCTCCCCGCCCTAGGCAAGTACTGGCGCTGCCTGCAGCGCACACCCTCCACGGTGGGGCACTCCCTGGTCGAGGCGCAGAAGTGCGAGAACGAGGAGGCCGAGACGGTCACCGCCATGGCCTCGCTCTCCGTGGGCGTGAAGCCCAGCGAGAAGAGGTGAGTGCCCGCCCCGCCCGCAGGCTTGCTGGCACCTCTGAGCAGTGGCGTGTCCCGCAGGCGGTCAGCGCCGTGGCCATGCGTGGCCTGCCATGTGCACCAGGCTGGCCCCACGGGGGGGGACCTCAGGTGTCCCCATCCGACTGTGGAGCCAGGCCAGCGCGGCCCCCTCTGTCCAGCGAGGACGCCCTGAGACGCGCGTGAGCAGCCCCGGGCAGTGTGGGCCCGTGGCGCTCAGCCTCAGGGTGGGCCGCGGCAGGGAGGGCCGCCACGCGGCGGGCGGCGCGTCCGCTGGAAGGTGGCTGCCAAAGGCCAGCGTGCCGCCTCAACGCGCCGCTGGGTTCTCTCTCTCTGTTGTGCCCCCCCACCCCACCCCCCGGACTCCGCAGGCCGGAGGAGGAGCCCATGGAGGAGGAGCCGCCCCTGTAGCCTCTCCCGGAGCCGCCGGTCTCCTGTTTGTCCGTCTCTGTCTTGAAGCTCAGCCGAGAAACTTTCCCGAGCGGCGCCTGAGTCCCGCCCCGCGTGCTCTCGGAGCGCCCAGGGACGCCAGCCCGCAGCAGCGACGGGAAGCCTTTCTGCCGACGGAGCCCGGGCTCCAGACGCACACGCTCACCCCGGCGTGGCAGCCGCGGGACAGACGCCGGCGCCGCGTGCACACGCACAGCCGCGGGAGCCAAGCACACTCGGCGGTCCCGGGATGCCGCGAAGACAGCGGCCTGCGGCGGTCGCCGAATCCAGGTGACACGAGGACAAGAAAATGAGAATCAAAGATCTAACGACACACACACACAAAAAAAACTCGATTAAAACTGGTGCTTAACGTTTGATTATTACCCACAATTTCACAGTCTCCGTGTAAACCACTCAACTCATCTTGTAGCTTATTTTTCTTCAAAGAGAACGTTTTCTTCGGCTCCGGCCTTCCCCCGCGAGCCAGCGGCGTGCGGCGGGGTCTGCGGCAGGTGGGGGCCGGAGTGGACGGACCTTCCACGGAAGCGAAACCGGACAGAAGCAGGAGCGCGAGCCTGGGGGAGGGTTGAGTTTCTCGAAGCCATCGGAAGATGCAAGTTTGTGCCTTTATTTTTATTGCTCTGGTGGATTTTTGTGGCTGGGTTTTCTGGGGTCCGAGGAACGATGCCTTAAGAAACTACAGAGAGCGGGGTCGGTGGACGGCCCCCCCGTGGCCGGGGGAGCGAGGCGGTGCCCCGGGGCTCCTCCTGCGCCCGGTCGCTCGTTGCGGAAGTGGAGGTGGTTCCAAAAAAGTGGCAGATACTGTTGGGGTTTTGAAGTCCAACAAAATTTTAAACGAATCCAAAGTGTTCTTTTTCTCACGCGTCACGTAGCGACCGATCGTGTCCATTTGGTTGTCAGCATGCCCCAGGCACTTGCAGTGTTAGGGTCGGAATGCTTTTTATGAAAAGCAAGTAGCATGAAGTATTGCTTAAATTTTAGGTATAAATAAATATATATATGTATAATATATATTCCAATGTATTCCAAGCTAAGAAACTTGATTCTTAACGAAATCTTGATAAAATATTTATAATGCATTTATAGAAAAAGTATATATAAATATATATATATATATATAAAATAAATGCAGATCCTGGAGGTCCCTTACAAACGGATGACTTGTGAACCAGCCCTCAAGGTGCTCATGGAAAGGGGTCGTGATGGAGACTCGTGTCTTTTCGGGCTCCAGATTGGCTAGAGCTTTCAGATCGCCAACACATTCGCCACTGGGCAACTACCCTGCAAGTTTGTACTTTGATTTCAATTATTTTCTAGCAGAAGCCCCTTCCCTCTCCAAGCCTCCATGCACATATGTACCTAATGAGTTTTTATAGCAAAGAATATAAATTTGCTGTTGATTTTTGTATGAATTTTTTCACAAAAAGATCCTGAATAAGCATTGTTTTGTGAATTTTACATTATTCCTCACCATTTAGGGATTTTTTTTTTCCAAATGGTAATTTCTAAATCGTTTTCCTTTTTAAAATTCTTGCTTGTACATTTTTTTTAACTTTCAAAGTTGTTTTTTTTATTATTATTATTATTATTGTTCTTGTTTATTTTTGTACAGTGGACGGTTTTCTGCAGCGTCCGGGAGTCGTTGGCATCAGAGTTTATTTTCAGAGAGTGAGGAGAGGGACCTCAGGTCTTTTCAGAGTGACACCAACAACTGTGTCTCT